TTTTAAGAGACGGGGCCTGGTAGGATGATCCGTGACCTCAGTATGCCTGTGTGTGAGTGCCTGGCTGTGAGCTGTGGCTGACTCCTGTCTGAGATTTGTAGCTTGCATGTGTACTTGATCGATAAGAAAACTCGGAAGCTTTGGATTAATGACCTTAAGTGAGATGTGGTTGGGTAAGGCTGAGAGCCAGTCGCATCCCTCCCCGACCTGGCTTTGCTGGCGCTCCATCTCCAGTTCATTCTGAAGTCTCTGCAACATCAAACCGCACACGTTTGGGGATTTTTCATTTTTTTAAATTTTGTCTTGACTTGTTAATAATTGTTTCAATTTAATGAATTTTTCCGTGGGTTAGCTAGTTTTATTCGGATTTTGTTTTTGTAAATGTTTGGATTTAGTTTAGGGTTTTGTTTCTTCTGTATATTTTGTCAGTCAAATTTAAGTCTGGTCAGACGTTGCTGTGTTACAGGATGCCGCACTTGAGTGAACTGCAGACAGACCGAACGACATCATTCACTGCTTAGCTGCAGTACCAGCGTTTCACCAATAGCAGGTGCTAACAGACTATAACATGGTCCGAGGGACCATGACTCAGTGGCGTACAATAAACGTTAAAAGTGCTTTTATTGGTCATTTATTTATTTCATTATTCATTTATACATTATTTTTTGTATGTTACATTATTTTCCCTAATTTTGGGATGGAGGGGTAATATTTTTTCTGGAATGCTAATTGGATTGACATTATTTCCATTGGGAAAAATTACTTTGGTTCTTGCACGAATTGGTTTTATTCAGACTTTTTGTTATACACTGTGTTGCTGCTCTTAAAGTACCATTTGTTTAAAGGTTTGTCTGTCTGTTTGCATTAAGGGGAAGTCAAGTCTACGTTTTTTTGCAATATTAATAACAATGCTAGGTTTAGACTAGTGGGGCCACATCGAATATTATTTTTGTAAAGAAAATTTTTAAACCTGACATCCCCTTTAAGCTAGCGGACTTTTGTTAGACAAATTGATGATTTTTGTTTGAACAATTTGTCATTTATATATACAATGTTTAATTAATAACTTGAAGCAAGCACACCTCGCATCTTATTGGGAAAACTGCACATGCAAGTCTTCTTTTTGTTTCTTCAATTTGATGTTATAGAGTCGAGAACAGAAGCTAAGAAAAAGTGTTTGAATGAGTTAAAATGTTCTTTAAGCAGGGGAGGGACGAAATTATATTTTAAAAAATTACTTTTGTGTCGTCTCTACATAGCAGAATTTCACTGTATTTTCAAATGATCTGATACCTTGAAGTAATCCTTGGTCCTCTGCGAGTCCCTTACAACATTCTTCCATGCGGTCACGATGCGTTTGAGGACGCAGGCTTTCAAAACTCCCACCAATTTACGCACCGCCTCTAGTTGGTGAGATCAAAACACAAGAGGTGATGAAAACATAAGCAAGCGCTGGACAGAATGAGTCACCCAGTCGGGAAGATTGTCAAGAAAAACGGACGGAGAGTTTTGGACACATTTTTTCCGACGATGGAGTGAGAAATGCTTTGCAGCCACGTACCTACACGTGACTCCTGCTTGCATTTGACCCAGCGCAGCCATGCAAGGAACGGCACCTCCTGCTTTCGCCTGTCATAATGCTGCAATGCAATTTCCATCTTTTGAGACAGTTCGGAGGCATCTGTCACACTGGCATTGGTGAAATCCTTCCAGCTCCTGTTCATCAATCGATAATTGAAAACAAACACAGCTCATCAATAAATCATTGAAAATAGTGAACTTTCTTTTCAGGTGGATCAGATTTCTGCTCCAGTGAAACCCCTCTCACCTCATATATTCGTGAATGTTTTAGTCAAATTTATTCACCAAGGGCTATGACATCAACTCAAAACAAAAAAAATAAGCATTTATTTCATTTTCGTGACATTTTATTTTTAGTTGAAAAACCTCTGTAATATCGCACGTCATTGTCTGAACCCGTGCAAGATTGCAGATTTTGAAGTGATTGTTTGTTATGAGCGCCCCTTTGGGCGATTGGTTAGCGCGTCGACCTCACAGTGCAGAGGTATGAGCTTTCTGTGCAAATATGAGAGAGCTGAATTGGATTACATAACACTGCACAAGCTTCCCCTTCAGCAGACTCAGTTTGCTTGACCTGGTGCTTACTGGTCACGGTAACTGGTTGTGGCGGGTAAACACCCTGCTCTTGTGCACGTCTGCAGCTTCCTTGTTCGGGCTCCTCCACCTCCGCGAGTTGGACCTGTCAGAAAACAGCCTACATTTCATCCAGTATGGGGTCCTTGAAGATCTCTACTTCCTGTCCAAGCTGAAGCTGGGGGGAAACCCTTGGGTGTGCGATTATAGGTGGGCCTTATAATTTTTCTATAGTGGTTTTCCACCATGGCAGCTCTTTGGTTTTCATGTTGCTTACACAGTATCTCTTGCTACTGTAAATGTAGACTTTACAGGCAAAACTAAAATTCATCATAAATTGTAAAGAAAGCAAATACATTGGAATTCCTCCATTTTCAATAGCCCTTATTCTTATTAGTGTTGTGGGTAAGTTGGAGCCAGCCAATCACAGGGCACATAAAGACTAACAGGCATTCACACTCATGGTTAATTTAGAGTCTCCGGGTACATAATGTACATGGCATGTTTTGGGAATATGGGTGAAAGCTGGAATAGGGGTAGTAAGAAAAAATGCAAACTCCAAACAGAAAGTTCCAAGCCACGATTCAAACCCAGAATCTAACCTGTGTTAACGCCTCATCTATTTCCCTTACTGCCCATCCAGTCAGGAGTGAGCAATATAAAGTCTTCAGTGGTCCCAACATGCATGTTTTTGTAATGATGAAGGAAATGGGAGTACCTGAGAAAACGCATGCAAGCACGGGGAGAACATGCAAACTCCTCATCTCTTGAGACTAAAATTGGCTGTAATAGAGCAGGTTAAACAACATTGTTTCTGGCCGAGAAACACACACACACACAAAATCAACCTTGTTGTGTTGTCAAAGGAGGAGTTGATAGACTTTCCCTGTTTAGTGTCACAAAAGTAGGTTTCAAGTAGGTGTTATGTACAAACAATAAAGAGGGATGATTGTCCACGGTCAGTTCAAGTATTCCGCCCCAAGAACTGAAATGTAGACAACAAATGCAATGGAACAGCATGCCACTGCAACTTGCACATCATTGAGTAATTTTGAATCAATATTTCTCTTGTAAAATGACAAAAGCATTTGACACAAGCACTTGGCTTGCTCTTACCAACCACAAGACAGAAATATGCCAACGTTATTGTGGGCCGGCTAACTCAGCTTTATGCTGTTACAGCCAGCCAGCGCTAACAATTTGAAAGGCCGTCAAATTGGATTGAGAAAGACAGAGGCTTTGATCTACATATATTACACTAGTAGGGAAACTTTTGCCTACTATTAGAGAAAGTCCACATGACTAGTTTGCCAAAAACGCGCGCTTGTTGACAATTGTGCGCCACTAGGACTAGGGGACATTATAAAATGTCAGGAGTTAACGTCTCGTGGTCCACTTCTTCGCCAGTCAAAATTAGCTCTTCCAAGTTTTGCTCTGTCCAGCCAATTGCAGGATGGAAAAATGCTGACATCAACAAGGACAAGCACGAGCACCTAGTGAGGATGAATTTGAAATCGTTAAACGGTCTCACTGCTCGCCCCATTGATTGACATGGCAACACATAGGGGCTGAAATCTAATTGGAAAAATAAACAAAATCTAACAGTGCAGCCAAGAGAGACACAACACAATTCGGACTGTTGGGAATGAATACATACAATTCCATGGAATAAATATAAGAATTATGGTTGCAAATGTACAACAGTGCCTCTGACACCACAAGTCAATGCTTGCAAAAACAGACGAGCGGGGTGTAACCAACATGAACACCACAGATGTCTCATATTCCTCTCTTAATATCAAAACCCAAATAAAACTAAGTCCACTTTGCAGCATCCACTACATGATGTACTGGCTTCGACTCCACCCAGTGGTGAGGCCCTCGGGACTGATGTGTCGCTCGCCTCCCGAATACACGGGCGAGAGCGTGGAGGAGTACGTGCGCGCCTAAGGGCTATGACATCAACTCAAAACAAAAAAAATAAGCATTTATTTCATTTTCGTGACATTTTATTTTTAGTTGAAAAACCTCTGTAATATCGCACGTCATTGTCTGAACCCGTGCAAGATTGCAGATTTTGAAGTGATTGTTTGTTATGAGCGCCCCTTTGGGCGATTGGTTAGCGCGTCGACCTCACAGTGCAGAGGTCGTGGGTTTGATTCCAGCTCCTGTGTGGAGTTTGCATGTTCTCCCCGTGCCTGCGTGGGTTTTCTCCGGGTACTCTGCTTTCCTCCCACATTCCAAAAACATGCATGGCAGGCTGATTGAACACTCTGAATTGTCTCTGGGTGTGAGCGTGAGCGTGGATGGTTGTTCGTCTCTGTGTGCCCTGCGATTGGCTAGCAACTAGTTCAGGGTGTACCCCACCTACCACCCGAAGACAGCTGGGATAGGCTCCAGCACGCCCCGCGACCCTTGTGAGGATAAAGCGGATCACAAAATGGATGGATGGATGGATTTAACTCAAGTTTTAAACAACTTTACCTACTTATGGAAATTGCATTTTAGGTCAGTACAAAATTAACATTTTGGAAATTTGCTATGCAGGTGTAGAGTCTTCCTTTTCACAACTATTTCCAGTGGTAAATTGTGACATGACTGACTGAAGTGATTGCTCTGCACATTCTCTTGAGTAAAGATTCTGATTCTGTTCGTGGCCATGACATGAGGCTGACCCGCACAGCACCATCATCAGCTGCCTGCAATCAACTAATTGCAGCCAGTGGAAGCTGAATGCGAGTTGGACTGTTTTGGTCCTCTCTGCTCTTTTCTTGTGTTGGTTTTGTAGCGCATGCAAAAGCGCTGCGACTTTTCGTGGAAACTTTGATGCGCTGTTGGAACTGGGGTGGAACTTCTTGGCATGGCTGCTCTGTTTGAGTAAATTTAATAATTTACCAAATTTTGGCAAAGGAGTTTTAGACCAGACACCAGCAATTGCTCCTACTGAGAAGAAAAATAAATACTAAGCACCTTATCAAAATGTGTTCCAATGGCTTTGCTAATATGAAAAGGCAAACAAAATATGCTACTGACAACTAAAAAAATACACTATACCTGTGTATTTTCATATGATACATAGTGTATTTTTTTTTTATTCTAGGGTCATCCTGTCACTGCAAATAAGGACCTGCTGTCCATATTGGTAAGAAGTGAAAAACAATACTGTAAAAAAACAAAAGAAAACTTTAATTTTGCACATTTAAGTGAAAAAAATCACAGGTTAATTCATACGTGGAGTGTAAATATTCTAAACAATCGTCCTTACCTGAAACAAGAGCTTGTTAATTTCCTCCTGTAGCAGGAGTAGGCCTTCTCATATTTCCAGAAAAGGGCCTAATTAAAATGAAAAGTACATGCTGATTGGAGAAACCCCAACATTGCACTTGACTGGACTTTTGATTGCACCTTGAGTTCATCGGCGTCAAGATATTCCCCGTCATCCAGTTGCAGAGAGGCCAGCAGTGACCGCTGCGTGCTATCACTGAGGAACTTGTCCCTTAAAAAAAGTTTAATTTTAAACTGAGACTTAAAAGCTGTGAGGCAAATCTGTTGACGACTCATCTACGGTGCTATTGTCGTTTTTGATAGTTTGTCAATTCCATACTGCTTTATAACAATAAGGGAACCAAAACATTCCAAATATGTATCTGGTGCAGTGCAGTTTTATGACCCCTACCAATAGACAATTACAACCCCTTTGTTGAATTAATACCTAAAAATGACATTATAGAGAGTTTTTGATTAGACTGTACAATTGTGTCTAATGCAGCAGGCCCATTAGTGTCCTGCGAGATCATCGGGTTTGCTGTGGGAAATAATCCAAATTACTGAGTTGACCTGAAAATTTGCTACAATGTATCTTTGTTCATCTATTTATGCCAGTGACATGCAGAAGAATTAAATGCTCTTCAATATATGGCTGAAGGTACATATTTGACTTATGTATCCACTTTTTCTGACATTTTCGTTTGGTGGTTTACATTGATTTTTATTCATTTTTTTCTTAAAAAAAGTAAAATATGAGTCTTGGCTCACAGGTCGGGAAACAGTGCCCTGGTGTAACTGTAGAGTACCAGTAAATTGTAACTCCAATGAAAAAAAGTCACATCCCAGTGGGACCTACCAGTCCACATCCTGCAGATTGTCATGTCCCTGAAAGGTGATCAGTGTGTTTTTCAGGAACTGTATGGGGTCTCTGGGATCTAACCGGCACGAGGCGATTAGCAAGGCCTGTTGTCAAGGAGAAGAAACAAAACAATCACCTGAAGTACTTCCGCACCATGTTAACTCATAAAAATATATTTATAGACATAATTTTTTTTTACCTTGTATAGTTGCTGAAGCTCATACTCTGTCAGAGCACTGACTTCGATTTTTGACTGGCTGTCTGTCATTTGCAAAGCTAGTCATTCTATAAAAAAGGCACCCGTGGCTAACAGTAACTAAAGAAATAAATATTTACACACAAATAACATGACAGACGGGCAGTTGTGAAATTGAAAATGTCCAAGTTTTCATTATTTACCCCTCGCTTTGCGCGTCACCTTCAGTCTTTGAAAAAGATTTAATCCTGATAGTAAGCAGCAGCTTTACGTCATGGCTAATCGTCACTGATTCAGTGCGTCTTCGAACGCGACGATACATTTTGATTCATTCATTTCGTGGGATTGGCGCTAACCAATTTATCTGTTTATATTCTTGGTTTTCTCATGCAGGAGTCGAGGAGAGACAATTGTTAGAAATAGGACGTAGGCTCCTCGGTATAATGTCACGTGACGTCATTTAAGAGAAGACGTCACGTAAAGACGTGTGTCCGATTAATCTTTGTTTCGGAATAATTTCCATCACAAGAAATATCTGTTGTTTGCTATATTAGTTTGCAATACAAGGATAGATATTTTTCAAACAAAGACATTACCAATATAGTAACTTACTGTATTTTGGTCATTCCATGAACACAACCGAGCTTTCATAAATTATATTTATTTAGGAATCAAACGTTGAAACCAATATTTTTAATGGCTTATTGAACAGTAGAAACATTGAAAAGACAGCAGTGCATTTTAAACAATCGCAGACAGTAACGTGTAATGAAGAGAGAACAGATCGTGCAATTCAAACAGGAAAACAAATATATTTTCCAGCGGCTGGGTGGTAGATAGAATAAATATGTGACAAACAAATGAAAACGACTGAACTGAGCAAGCATCCTTCATACAAGCAATTAAACGAGAAAAAGCTTTTGTCATGCGAGCCGCCATTTTTTAAGACCAAACGCAAGACCTTCTGGGAAAACAACTCTTCCATGTGAGCGCTTAAATACCATCCGGGTAGGATTACTTTTTGGTTAACATTTCACACCGGAAAATCGAAGTACTGCTACTATTTTTGTGTGGAACCATAAAAAACTTTACGAGGCTTAGATGGATGGAAAATGGCAATGAAAAATTCCGGATTCAAACGCTTTTGTTAATGTATTATGTGGTCACTGCGACTGCAACTATTTTCTGCCCGGTGTGGAATTGATGCAACACACATCAAAACAAACTGCGATGGGTCCTTTCAAGTTACTTAGGTTTGGTGCACTTTGTTTTGGGTTAACTAAAAAGCCCTGTTAGGCTTCTTCCATTTCAAAACGTAAATACCGTCTTGTGTTTACAGCATCCGCTGAAAACTTCATCGCTGAGATTATCATCAGAATGGGGGACAGCGGCAGTATTACGCCTAGAATTGGCAGCATGAAGACTTTGCTTGGAATAGTCGCCGGAGCTGGGGTCTCTTACGGAATTTACAAACTCTTAAGTGGGGGAAGCTTTAGGAGGTACAAGAAAAGCGGGGGCAATGAAGGTCTTGCTTCAAAGACCAGTGAAGGTAAATCTCGGTCGGACAGCCTGTTGGCCAAAGTGTCTGAATTGGACCTTGTGTTTTCCCGAAATGAGAGAACGGATGATGCTTCGGGTATGTATTTAAATGGTGATGTACGTTTTTCTAAAAATATTACAAACATACATTATTATTACATCCGAATCTTGATCGTTGTAATTGTTGGCATGGAAACGCAGAGTACCCGAGAACCAATATGGGAGCTCTAATAACAACCGCAATATTAAACATTTATAAAATCAATCCTTAAAAATTAACCATTATTTATCATTGTAATTTTTTTATACTCTTATTGTACGGGGTCTGTGGCGGTACGTTTAGGCACTCATTAAATTCATATTACTTTGATCACAGATGTTATGCAACCTCAAAGTTTTGCTCTGGCCAACCAATTAGAGAACAGAAAAGTGCCGACATCGTTGACGGCCAGCTCCCTGGCCTTGTGAAGATGAATTTGAAATTTGATGGATCAGTCTTATGAAAATAAATGTGGACTGCTCTTGGCCTCACACTTGACAGGTAACATCATCCACCAGTCTGTGAGCAACCTGGAGCCACAGCACCTAAACATGTTGCTGACATGTCTAAAGGCCAGCAATAGCACATCAGAGAGGTGTCGTCTATTGCTCACTTTAGGAAATGCTGCTGCTTTTACTGTGAATCAGGTACTGGCCTTCAAAAAAAAAAAAAAATCATGACATTTTTGTGAAGTTTTACAAACTTATTCTAACATTATGTGTCCTCTATCCCGCAGAATATTATACGTGAATATGAAGGAATTCCTATTATAGGGGGCTTCCTCTCTGACCCTGCACCAGAGGTTAAAGTGCAGACTCTGAATGCTTTAAGTAATCTCTGCATGAACCTCCAAAACCAGGAGCAGCTGAAGGTACACAACCGTATACAGTGAAGCCCCATTTGTTGCAGGGGATACTTTCCACTCCCACCTGTGATTAGTGAAAATATGTGAAATATCCATCCATCCATTTTCAATACCACTGAAGAGGGTCGCGGGGGGTTGTTGGAACCTATCCCGGCTGACTTCCAGCAGAAGGCCAACTACACCATGAAGTGGTCGCTAGTCAGTCGCAGGGCATATATAATGACAAGCAACCATTCACACCCACATTCACACCGTCACCGAGTGGGAACTGGTCACACGCTGCCTGCACACAACTCAGGCGAGTGTATCACTACTTTATCAGTGATTCCTCTATGTGATATATAGACCATATAAAAACAGAGCAAAGGGGACTCAATTCAGATCTAGTCTGCACAGACATCATTGCTCATCCGACCATATAGTAATTCTCTTCTTTGCGGTAAGATTTGAAGCCAGGGTGCATGCAATTAATATAGAACATCAGGCTTTACATTAAAAACGTAATCTAAATTATCTTGCAAACCCGATAAGAGCAGACATCACAAATGGAGAAAAAAAATGCAGCTTGGGACTTTTAATTACGCTGCATCTCCTGTCGTCAATGCTGTCTGGCAAGTTGTGACACAACAATACTACTACTCTGAAAGTGCAACTCCAAAGTGTTTACTTTATTGTAAACTATAAATACTAAACACCCATCAAAACTATTGTTTAAAAAGCTGCAAAAGAGTGGCGGTGCTATCAGCCAACTGCAATAAAGCAGGGGTTCACTGTATTTTACATTGTCAGTTCTTGAACCTCTGTCTTTAAAAACAATGTCTTCTCTTTTAGGTCTATGTGCCACAAGTGCTACAGTTGATCGAGATGTCTCCAATGAACTCTGACCTTCAGCTAGCTGCTCTCAGGATGCTAACCAACCTTTCTGTCACCGACAAACATCAACACCTGCTCAAGGATGCGGTCACGCTTCTACTCCATTTGCTGTTGGTGAGCGACGTGACATTACAGGTTAGTATCCACTCATAATAGCTTTTTATACCAGTTGTTTGACCATGTTAACGCATGCATTTGTTTCAGGTTCAGACCTTGAAGGTTCTTGTGAATATGTCATCTAATCCAGACATGATGGACGACATTGTTCAGGCTCAGGTAAGAAGTCTGATTAAAAAGCGAAAAGCGCGACCTCTTTTTCTCCAGTTGGAAGTTAGTTATGCAACAGTTCTTGTTTAAAAAAAATGTTTTTTTTAATTTTAGGCTGTTTTCAGAATCACAGTTCCCAAGTAGTGTTCGAAAACTATTTTCCATATGACTAATAAGTGAACCATAGCTCAGTGTACAAAAATCCCGAGCTATGAATGAGTCAACGATTGTACAGCTCGTCTCCTAATACATTAGTTTCCACTAGAGGGCAGGAGAGTGAAAGAGCAGCCATGTTACAGTTAAGTCATCATTGGATAAAAGGATTAAGGATCGGTATTTTTTTTTTTTTTCTCATCGCTGGATGTTTTGATTCCAAATGTCTACAATGTATTTTTGATCGCTTGTTCAATGTTTGATCACTGTGTTATGGGTAGAACTGAAAAATTTAGGAAAATAATTTAATAGTGACCTCCCAAGTTTGCGATTGCGAGTTTATCTGCAATTATTTCTCAAGGTCAGTGTATTTTTCAGCAAACAAGCAATTCATTAATTGTTACAACAATAAACAATATCAAAACTATAATATATTAGAGGGTAATAAGATGAAGGCAAATGAAACTTGAATTAATGTGAAAGAAAGTTTATCTACTGTTACTGGTATGAATTTAGAAAGTAAACATAAGTATATACTATACTGTAAATCAGTTAAAACACAGATAAACTAAAGTGCAGTTTACGATACATCAGTAATGCAAACAAATTCCTTCTGTTGCATTCATGAAATCGGATGCCAGAACATCTGGATACATACAGCAGAATTAATCCTCTGAATATATGATCACTGACAGCTTTGTTGAGTGCTGCCATTTTCATATCATTTGATCGCTGGATGTGTTTTCATTTGTCACCGCTCAAGTAGTGCGCACACCATCGTGTCCATGTGTGTGCTCAAACATCAAAGACACGTAAATCAAAGTCAACCCTGGTTGCTCATACATGACAGGTCTATCAACACAGACACTTTCACACTTACCCACACTGCCACGTGATCCAACATACAATGGGAGCTAAACAACACAAAGTACACAACACACAGCGAGCCTCTTTTTTTTTTTTCAACCTCAAAAGGCGAAAAAGGTCAAATACTGTATGTTACAAGTGAATACTACCCTCAAGGTCTCGCAAGACAGAAAAATGTACGCGCACCTGGAGCGGCAGGCTTTAATTACAGCGTTGCCGAGTGCCTTCAGTGTGCGCAGCAGCTTTTGCAAGAAGCAAAACTCGTGATGATATTGCAAATGCAATTAATTGATCAGACATATTTTTTTTTGTCTAAAAAAAAAATATGTCAAACTGAGTCACAAGCTTGGGCACAGAAGGAATTAATGTCTTTTCAATGACGAAAATAAATTCACTCTACGAGTAAACTGAGTCACAAGCTTGGGCACAGAAGGAATTAAACATGTAAGTCAAGTTCCCACTGTAACATGTTTAAACGTTCTTCATGTGTACTTTGCCGCCGCCACCCCCACAAGGCTCCGGCTTCTGTCATGCTGCTATTTGCCGCGCAAACGTCATCGGAGGTGCTTATGCGGCTGTTGACATTCACGGGCAACCTGAAGTCCTGGAGACCTTCGGCACAGGTGGCAGAGGAGTTGAGGCGCAACCGCGATTGCCTCTTCCGGGTCATGCTGGACGAGTCGTCGGAACTCCACGGCCGACTGGTCCAGCTCCTGTCACACCCTGACAAGGAGATTCAAGCGCAGGTGGCCCATATATTGACATAGTCCACTTCCGTTCTCCTCACCCTACACCACAATCTGCACTGTAGACATTTTCATCATGACGTCACACATGACGTCACACATACTGAATATATTCAACCCCAAACATAAAACAGTTTTGTCATCAATTCAGTCAACGGGTGCCACTCACCTTTTGCCACCTGTAAGTACCCTGGTGCCCTTTTCCAAATGTGATGACGTAGTCTGTTTTTCTCACTGTTTTGATCTCACATACTTCGCCAAAGTCATCAGCAATTAAATTAGATCATATTTCCACACTGTATGAGGGCCTGACCGCTAAAAATCTGCTGAGGCTGATGCTGATATTTGGCAGAATAAAACAAAGATAACCAATTAATTGGTCGATTAATTTAAAAAAATATACAATCAATAAATGGACTTATTTTTGGGTCCCCTTAACACATGGTTTAGTATTCGATTAACCTAACAGAGAGAATAATCGGCCGAAATTTTGGGAAGGCGGGAAAACGTCTTTGCGTTATGCTGTGACATGTTAATGTAGCGATATTTGTTGATTTGGAAAGAGCTAATATTGGCCGATTAATGGCTCAGGCCCGTCTATCATGGCCGCTCCAAATCAACAGCCAGTTTCCCTTATTTTTCAGCTTGTAGAGTTAATAAGGGAGGCACGACTGGGAAGACTGGACACTGGTTTTACTGCCATAATATTGGTGACATTTCAAGCGAGCCGTTTTCCTCGCATCATTCCACTGTCTTAGGAGAATGTGAAGCGTTTTTTAAAGAATGGCAGGATGACTGGAGTCACATGATTAAAAAAACAAAACAAAAAACAACAAAATATAAGAGAATGTCAGAAAGTTACGAGAATAAAGTCAGAATTTTTAAGGAATGACTTTTCATTAGAAATGTCATATTTTCGGGGAAAATTACAATTCCATTCTTGCAAAAGAAAACGTTTTTTTCATGTATTAGAATTTCATCCTCGTTAAAAAATGTTTTTGTTAATTATTGCAACATTACAGATTTGTTCTTGTAAAATCCCCCTTTTTCCTCCAGCATTGCAAGTTTACGCTTGTGGAATGTAATTGAGTTTTTTTTTTCCATGGAACATTACAAATGTATTCTTGTAATAATTTTCTTTTTACTTGTAATATTATAAAATATTTTATGTTATATAGGAAATAAAAAATATATCTCCTCCTAACTTGAGTCTTGGTTAAATTATATATTTTTGCACATTATAGTAAAGCTTTCTACCTTGCAAAAACTAAAGACTCTTTATTCTTGTATGAAAAAGTTGGTCAATTAGGAATGATTTTCCCTCATATTACAAATGTATTCTTGCACAATTAACTTTGTTCTTATAACATTACAACTTCATTCTGGTCATATTGTCATTTCTTTTCTCATTTTACACATTGGTTAAATTATATTTTTGCTCATAAGACCACAATTTTATTTTTTTTTTAATTAAAAATTTTTCTCTTGTAGAATTACCTGTTTTTGTCATATTACAGCTTTATTCTGAAATAAGTGAGTTTTTTTTTGTCACATGACAGCTGCAGCGTATTCTTGTAAAATTATTATCCCTTGTAATATTGAAATTATATTTTGAAAATGTTTGTTTTTTCATGTAAAGTTATAACTGTATTCTTAAAATATTCCGATGTTTTAATCTTGTAAGATCAGAATCAGATATTGCAAGTTTATTCTTTTAAAATGATATTTTCACCCTAATTTTCCGTTTTATTCTTGTCGAATTGCAAGTTTTTTCCTGACAAGATTATAGTTTTAGTATGTTTTTTTTTCCTTCTAAAATTTCTTATTTATTCTCGTAAAAAAATTGACATTCTTGTACAAAAACAATTCTCATATTTTGGCTTTTAAGACAAAAAAAAAATAATTCTATGATTTTGTTCTCATGAAATGTGAAGAAGGGCAGCATGGCGGTTGATTGGTTAGCACGTCCACCTCACAGTGCAGAGGGGCAGGGTTTGATTCCGGGTTCGGTCTTATTGTATTGTGTCTGCATGTTCTCCCCGTGCCTGCGTGGGTTTTCTCTGGGTACTCTGGTTTCCTCTCACATTCCAAAAACATGCATGGCAGGCTGATTGAACACTCTCAATTGTCCCAAGGTGTGAGTGTGAGCTGAATGGTTGTTCGTCTATGTGTGCCCTGTGACTGGCTGACAACCAGTTCAGGGTAAACCCCCGCCTACTGCCCTAAAACAGCTGGGATAGGCTCCAGCACGCCCGGGATCCTTGTGGGGATAGGCGGTTCAGAAAATGGATGGATAGAAGTGTTAAGAAAGCCAGATTGAGATTTTTAAAAATTGTTATTTTCATGATTTTCCCCACCTGTTGATAGTCTGCTTCCAGATCATTACATTTTTCTCTCCAAAGTCTTGTTTTCCTGCCATCCAGTCAGGATATTTTAGTTATTCTACCAGCCCCACCTGGGATCCAAAGACATCATGTTTGAGGGCGTTGAATATCGTGTGCAGAAATGCAGTATGAAAGAAGAGTAGCCATTTGTCCGCAGATGACTGATTTTGACAGGATTCCAGTAACATTTGGCGGATTACAGCCGATAGTGAATGTTAACTACCAGTCTCATTATGTACTTAGTGTAATGCGCCATGCTGTGACGTGACAGGTCCGCGCGGTTTAGCGGGAGGACTGTGCATCCATCTGCTTGCATGACTACAGCCTCTTTATGTCACGAGTCAGTCCAGGTGTGATGAAATGCTGCACATTGTCAAATGTATATGTTGACTTCGTTGACTTTTTATTGCTCAGGAACAGGTTTGTCTGGAGACACACCCCTAAGTTAAAATCATATTTATTTAAGGAGACGGCAGTTTTGTAATGAATTAAATATTCTGCTTAAATATTTCAATAAATGCCCTTCCGATGGACAAGTGTCACTTTTTTAAATGAGCTGTATTGTTTGTTATTGCACTGGTATGGTCTTGAACAAAGTACACTAACATCTTGTATTGACAGTTCACATGCATTTAAATCTTAAGTATCCCGAAACAGTGACAGTAGCGTTCAGTGTTGAATATGCAGTGGGATCTAAAAGTCCATGCACCCTTGTTCAAATGTCAAGTTTCTGTGTCTCAAAAAATACGAGACCCAGAGAAATCATTTAAAAACTGTTTCTACCATTAATGTTACATACAACCTGTACGATTCCGTAATGTAAGGGCCGTTGTGCGGTGGTACCACCCAATGACAGCTGTGAGACAATGTGCAAAGTATCAAGCAGAGCTAAAGTGATCAGTGGTAGAATACAGTACAAAAACAGTTGTGGTCATTTGGTTGCACAAGTGCACAGGCTCTTACAACTTCGATGTGGCTATGTTTAGAATTAACCAATCACCGTAGAAAGGGTTCTGTCAGTCGTCATCTGTACTTGTGGGTAAAAAACAAAAAACAAAAAAACAAAAAAAAATAAAAAATAAAAAAAATAAAAATAAAAAAAAACAAAAAAGGACGTTTCGCTTCTCTCACAGAAGCTTCGTCAGCGGTAGACAAACCTGAAGTCTCCGTGAAGCATCCGGGAAGTTGCTCTGCGCTAAAAAGCTGAGCGAGGCCTATTTCGGGCACACGTG